GTTATATTAATGGCTGGATGGGAGCTGGTTGCCATGGGAACTGACCATGTGGTTAGAGGGTTGGCACTTCCACACACATCACCCCCCCTCTCCTGGGAGGGGAGAGGGCTGGAGATTGAATTCAGTCATCAATGGCCAAAGACTTAGTCAACTATGCCTATGCAGAAAAGCCTCCATAAAGCCCCAAAAGGATGGGGTTTGAAGAACTTCCATGTTGGTGAGTGTGTGGCCATCCTGGAATAGTGGCAGGCCCAAGGGAGTATGGAACCTTGGGGCTCCTTCCCATATACCTTGCCACATGCATTGCTTGCATCTGATGTTCCTGACTTATATCTCTTTAGAATAAACTGGTAATCCTATGAGCAGTCTGGTTTCCAGAGTTCTGTAAGTCACTCTGGCCAATTAATTGAACCCAAGAAGTGTGTTGTTGGAATCCCTAATCTCTAGCCGGTAGTTAGACTCCCAGGTGACAACCTGAATTTGTGAATGGCTTACGAAACTGGGGAGGGGATACCTTATAGGGGTGAGCCCTTAACCTGTGGGTCTGACACCAAGACCAGGTAGATAGTGTCAGAACTGGGGTTAGGTGTATGATGCTTAGCTGGTGTCAGAGAATTGCCTGGTGGATTGGCACTGCTCCCCCTAAACACCCTCTCCCTGCTGAATGTGGGTACAAAATCATAAACTAGCTAACAGGTTCTGGGAATGACACAGGTTGTAAATAAGTGGCTAGATCAGAGCAGTCGATCTAAGGATGCACTTATCCTGTTGGGAATGGTGGGTGGAAAGAAATTGTGTCATAACAGCAGACAGGAAGTGTCCATAAGAAAATCCTCTACCTCAGAGCAGTGCTGCCTCAAAAGCTATGTGCTCACTTAGCTAATTTGGTGCCTCACCCACGGCCTACTTCATCCTAATACTCCAGACTAATTTTTAATTTTTTTTTAAGATTTATTTATATAAGATATATTTATACAAGAACTGGGGTACAGTCCAGAGGCGCAGGAAGGTGATAGAATTCACCAGAGACAGAGCGGGGAGCAGAACAGGCAGACGGACTGGAAACACTGCTGAGGGGAGCAGTGGGTGAGCCAGGAGAGGTCTGCCAGGCCATGTGGGTATCTCCCTGGCCAGCCAGGAATCGAACCTGCATTGCAGGGGCTGCGGACAGAGTCACAGCGCTGCACTCAACCCGCTGCGCCACCGGGGAGACCCTAGACTAATTTTTTTAGTCTTTCATTATCCCACTCCCTATTCTTTTAATGTCATTGGTTCACAAACTCATGATTTCCTCAGGATAAAATCACAATTGGTCTCCAACACAGAGGGCAAAAAGAGACTGAAGAAAGAGGTGGACCTCTCTGGATTGATAGTTGGAGATTTTAATAAACAAGTGAGCTTCCATACTGGACTTTTCTTGGGTGGACGCAAGACAGTTAGATTTCCACTCTTGTTCACCAGAATCTTAACAATGTATATAAGGAGCTTTAATGGGATTCAGACTTGTGTATGGTCCAGGTGGGGCCACACCCTATCTCTCAAGGCTGTGTTCTGAAAGTGGCTTCTGGTATGGAAATAGTGGGCAGACCATACATTCCTAAAATAGGGTGGAGGCTTCGGAGTCTCTGATTGCTTGAATCAGACTCATGATTCAAAGGTCACTTGCTGACCTCTCCCAACAAGTGTACATGGAGAAAATGGTGTATGTAGATAGGCATGGTACCTCCCACCCCCTTTCTTTTTAACTAAATGCCCAGTGATGTGCTTTAATCCACTGGTGATGTGTGGGGAAAAAGATAACACTGAAAAGAAAATATTCCTAATACCCCGATTTTTCCATTAGTGATATCTCACTTAACATTTTGTATTCCCACGAGTTATTTTGTATCACTGTTTAACAAAACAATACCAGCAACAATCCTTGTAAACTCTGATTGGAGAATTTAAACATTTATTATCATAAAACCAAAGGCCATGTTGTTAATCCTTTTTGTGTGTAATCACTGTATGTAGAGTAATCTGCCCTTCCTGGGAGAGACTACTTTGAAGGAAAGGAACTTTTCATAGGTTTTGCTTTAGGTCAACAGTCTTATTACTTAATTATACTTCTTGTCTAAAAAATTCTTTAAAGAAACAATTAAAATGTGAGTTGATAGTGTTAAACCTAAATTTTCCTTAAGGTTAAGTTTTATTAGCTGTTTCAAGAAAGATCATGATATTTATATAATTAGATATTTGAATGAGAATCATGCTGTTATTCAATAAACAGCATGTAAGTGATATCACCCAGCCACAGATTTTTCTGTTATATCTGAAATTTTTTACCTGAGATCCCTTCAGAGCAACAAATGTGAAGAGAAAGAATTTTTGTGTGTTAGTTACAAGTCTAAGCTGTGACTGCGTGGCTACTGGGTAAGACTCAGTGCACCTGTGTAGGGTAAAGAAAATATCAGGCTTTTCTGCCCTTCCGCCATCAGGATAGATGATGGATCCTTGTCCTGAATGCATGCCTGATGGCGGGCACCTGGAATAGGGTATGGGCATAGGTAGATGGGATTCAGCTGAGTTAAGACTGTGCTTTTAAGGGCAGCGTCATGGGGACACCAGTAGCAGCAGTAGCAGCAGCAGCAGTAGCAGTAGCAGCAGTAGCAGTAGCAGCAGCAGCAGTAGAAGCACTGTGCCCAGTCCTGACCTTACAACCTGATATACTGATTTTCAGAAATCAAATCCTTGAAAATTTGGGCATCAAAATTTTTCAGTTCATCACATGCAGTGTTTCTGCCCAAAAGTATAATCCATTTGCATGAATATAAAGTGTTTTTTGAAGATAAAATGTATGTGTATTGAGTAATTAGAAGTTGAGGGAAAAATGGTATTTTATCTCTAGTATTAGGCTTAAATTGTAATCTAGAATTTGTGCAAAGCATACATGAAGCCCAAATTATCTTGAAGCAAGATTTTAAAAAATGCAGAAGTTTCTTTTGGTTTTGATTAGGCTCTATTAATTACTCTCGTATGCTATGTTTAGAATGGAAAGGTGGGTGTCATTAGCCAAAAGCAGATGGAGTAACAATAACAGCCCACAGAAGGGGGAGTATTTGTCTTAGCCCTTTTAAGCTCTCCAGGGCTTTGTAAGTATGCTGATCAGACCTTCTTGAACCTTGGTGACGTCTATGAGAAATATTCTGTCACTCTGAAAGCATTCCGAGGTGGGTCAAGCATGACCTAATTATAACACAATGGCTTCTTTTTATGAACTTCAGGAGAAACACTCCATGCTAAATTGAATGCCTTGGACTATTTACTCCCATTTAAATTTGAAAGCCTGGGAAATTCACTACTGCCTGTCTGACTCACCCACTAACTGAAATAGCCTGAAGCATATACTGGCACTGCCAAGATCTTCTTCCCATTCATCTTTTGGGGCACTCTAAGAAATACCTTTTATTTGGCATTTTCTCTGTATTTGCTTAGCCGTCATTGAGAGAGATTTTATAGTCATTACATTTTGCTATTTCCACTCTCCTTCTATTCCTTCTTCCTCTTTCTATTATTTCCACCTCTTCTTTTGTTCAGGAGTTCCCATTTCAAAGAGGTGCTGCATCCAATGTTATCTGAGATTTTTCTTGGTGTGAAAATTGAATTTGGGTAACAGGTGGAGTTTTCTAGCCATGAAATGACAATAAAAAGCACATATACTAGAATTTAGAAGATGTGGATTGGTCCTGAAGTATTAAAATATCTATCAAAATTGGAACGTAGGTTTTCTGATTAATCACACCATTATTTCCTCTACTTTTATGCCAGCATCTTTGTAACATTTGTACAAATCCAAGATACAAGTACTAGTTAGTAGTGTGGGGTTTCTACTTGGAGTCCTTGGGTTAACCCCATGGAATGTACATCTTTCCTGGGGTAGATAAGTCTGGGGTGGGGGCACACTGTATTTATAAGAGGTACTTCCTGAAGCAGTTACCTGCCAAAAGAGCCTCATTTGGCTTCAGAGAAACAGGGCTGACATTTGGAGGGAAAAAGAAAGAAAGAAAAAAAAAAAAACACTGGTAAGATGTGGGTTGAATTGTATCCCTCTCAAAGTTACACTCAAGTAATAACCCTGGTACAGGTGAATGTGATCTTATTTGAAAAGAGGGATTTTTGCAGATATAATGAAGATAAAAAGATCATAACGGATTAGGGTTGCTCCCCAATCAAGGTCTGGTGTCCAAATGATACTGGAATTGTAGGTTTTCAGGCCTAGTCTCTCAGCCAGGAATGGATCCTAGGCTGCAGGGGCAGCACTGAGTCCCAGCCACTAGACCACCATAGGTTGGTGTCTCATGAAGCCGCAGCAGGAACTTCACAGACATTCAGGCAAGCAAGCGAGAAGAGGCAGGTTTGTTTAGAGAAAAAAAAGGTTTATTGAGGAGAAAAGGAACAGAAATAAAGTGGGACTCCCAGGCCATGAAACCAGGCCAGGGAGGGGCAAGGAAGCCGGAGTGGATTCCTGTCTCAGGGAATATATGCCTTCTTTCCCTAATTATTCTAAAGCTCCACCAGTCTCTTTGTGGTTGGTTAGTTCTCAGGTGGTCTCACTTAATCTGCTACTGGGCGGGGGATCTTCACCTTCCTTATCTTTCTTCGTACTCCTTACTGAATGTCTTGTTGACCTTAGTCCTGGGATGTTTGTTATTCCCACCAGAACTAGTTACATTCCTCTTGATGTCCTTATCTCTGGAGCCTTCCTTAACTCTCCTGAAGTCCCTGCACTGTCCTTGAGGCTGCCAAATTATCCCTAACTTGCCCTCGGATTCATTTATTTTTTTAAAAAAGGGAAATTTAGAGACACATCAAGAGAACACAACATGATGATGGAGACAGAGACTGGACTGCTGCTGCTACCAGCCAAGGATTACCAACAAGTGCAACTAGGAGGCAGGCACTTTTATTTCTTAAAAATAAGCAGATCACAATATGCCAAAGAATCTTATCTTGGGGTAGCATATTTTGCTCCTTCAACTTACACAATATCATGTTAAAAATATGCCTTATATCAATAAAGGTAGGATAAAAATAAAGAAATGTATCTGGGATCCAGTTATAAAGAGCACAGAGCCTTATTCTCTCACAGTTCTGAACTACTTCATTTAACCATTTCCATGGACTTTTCCCTCCATCATGCTTCTAACCTTTTGTATTAGTTTCCTGGAGTTGCTGTAACAAAGTACTACAAAGTGGGTAACTTAAAAACAATAGATATGTTTTGTCTCCAATACACTAAAGTGACAAGTCCTCAATCAAGATGTTCACAAGGCTCTAGGGGCTCCTTCAGTAGGAAAGCAATCCTGGGGTATCCCGGAGTAGTAGCTGAAAGAGAAAAATATGGCATTTAAGTTTTTGTCCTTTTTCTTCAACAAATTTCTTAGGTCTTTGATAGATTCACAAGATCAATGGGTTTTGGTCTTCAAATTATCATCTTCTGGGGCTTTCTTCACTTTGGAGTGATACACCAGGGTTTTATGCCTGAAAGTTTCAAAGATGTATGAGTGGTCTTAGAACTCACCCATGTGGCTTTAGATGTCATCTTATATTGCTTGGCTAGGACAAGGACAGTTGGGAGAAGAATGTAGAAGTGAGAATATTTACTGGGCAAAAGAGGTGCTTCTGCCTTCTCCATTAGAAAGAGATAAGGGGATTAGGTCTTCCTGGAAAATATCCTGGAACAGTGAGTTTAAATATAAACATCAAAGCAACTAGCACCCAACCTTCACAGCCTTTCCCATGAAATAAAGCATTTTCCAGAGACATCTTTTGGAGGTTGAAACTGAGCTCCATGTGTATGTGAATGGGACTCCCATAAGACCAAAATCAGTTTCCATACACTAGAGTTTAGCATATTACACAAACCACAAATTACTATGAAGGAGTAGGAAAACAGCCTAAAGTTTGGACCCATTGAACCCACATCTAAATCAAAACACACACACTTTACTGAAGAAAAGTCAAGCTCCTTTAAATCAGAGGCCAAAAAATCCTGCAATTAAAATGTGTTATGGTCACCAATGCATGGGAATGTCTTTTGGGACAGTCAGCCATGTGTGTGACGGCCCCACGTTAGGTGCCAAGATGTGAGAACCTCGGGAGAAATGGGTGACCTAAGTTGTGAGTCCTCACCTGCACACTTAAGAACTTGGAACAAGATCCTAAAGCAGACATGTAAAGAGGAATTTTATTTATTTATTTATACAAGCACTGGGTACGGTCAGAAGCACGGGAGGGGTGAGAGAATTCACCAAACAGAATAGGCAGACTGACGAAGTACACTGCTGAGGGGAGCAGCGGGCGGCAGGAGAGCTCTGCGAGCCATGTGGGACCCTCGCCTGGCGGCCGGGGATCGAACCGGCACTGCAGAGGCTGTGGGCAGCTTCCCAACCCAGCACTAAACCACTGAGCCACCAGGGGAGGCCCTGAAGAGGAATTTTAAAAAGGTTTTTTATAAGGGGAATGAGAAGAGGAAGAACAGAGAGAGGGAGAGAGAGACGAACTCTCTGACATGACTTAGCAGCAGCAGCATCTTAGCCGCTATCAGGAGACAAGCTAAAGCTGAAAAAACAAGAGGGCAAGGCCTAACTGTCTTCAGGCTTTTATAGACAACATGGCCGCCCACCTCCACTCCTTCCCAGTGGTCCACAGTTCAGGAAGTCAGGTTCATGTCACATTGGGAGTTGTAATCCTTTGTGTCTGAAATCTCATTGGCATGGAAATAGAGGGTGGAGTCCGTTCAGGACATCATTCACTCCCTCAGAATTTGCTCCTTCCTGTTCCCCTAACAATTTCATCTCAGTCCTGATGGCTTCCTTGCTTAAGTGATTTAACACTAGTTAAAAACATTCAGCAGATTTTACTCAGAACTATTACCACAGGGTTAGAAGCTGCTGTAGTAGAGTTTTGCAGTAGGGGAGGGAGTTGGGGCTCAGCCGTGAGTATAATCAGGGAAAATGAAGATTTATAACCAAGAAGCAAGGTTGCGGTGACAGGATCAGTGGATGGAAACTTACTAAGAAACAGGATAATTCTTCAATCAACTGACTAAAAGGATTCTTGCTGAAGATGGGCTAGCGTGATTAGCTGTTACCTGGTTGATAGAGGGGAATGAGAAATTTGATCAGACATAGAATATGAACAGATAGCAAGGGTGGGAGATTCTGGATAAGCCACCTTCACTGGATTCTAGCTAAAATTGGGCAATGTAAAGGTAGACATAGTAGTCCAAATTCAGGCATAGTTGAGCCCAACAGTCAGAGAAGCCTGACTCAAGTGTGGTCAAGGAGAGAGAATTCTTGTCACTTTTTCTTTGTATTCATTTATTTATTTTTAATGGTTATCCCCAGAAGGTAAATATTCTTTAGCTGGCTTTGTCTCATTTGCATTAAAATAAAATAATGCCCAGCTGAGCATTTTGGATTTTATACAGGCTTCATATTAAATATATCTCTAACTTATATTTCTATCATTATTGTCAATCTGATGAAATCAAAGCTTATATTTTCCAATTTCTGTGGAATGCTATCATTATCTAGTATTTCCTGATGCCTAAAGCTCTCCTTTTATAATGTGTTTGATGGTTGTGTGTGAGGGAGGCAGGAGAGTTTTCAGGTAGAGGTTGCTTTGTTATTAGGTGTAAGATGAAGGGATTTAAGAGAATCTCATAAATTCTTCAATAGAAAGCTGCAGGCTGAGTCCCTACTGCCTTTGTGTTTGGAATTTAAAATTATTCCCCAGGTACTTAGCTCGCCATTCACTACCCCTCCCCCACAACATGGTGCTCTCTCACAATCCATTATTTGTTTTCTTTTGATAGGAATTTTTTTGGTGCTATAACTTTGATATTTCTTCAGCTCTATTTGTTCTGATATCTTTGGTAATGCCGGCTTTCCTTTCATCTTTGTCATCTCTTTATTTTATCTCTCTTATTCCAACTGCTACATGTTTTATTATTTCTCTCATGAAAGCCTTTTCTTTTTGAATACAAGAAAGCAATGCTTTCTTTACCTCACTGAGGATAACCTATATATATATTATTAAAAAATCTTATGAATTATGAAGGAACTCTAATGGAGATGGGTTTTTATGAGATTTTTTTTTTCCACATGAGCCTTTGTTATTATCAACCTAAAACTCAAGAGGCAATCAAAAAAAGGCAAAATGCATTTATTTGGATGAAAGAATTGCAGTATGGGGCTATAGATTCAGGTCGAATCTACAAGCTGTCCCAAGCTGGGGAAGAAGAGACAAGGGTTTTTATGGGAGGGAAAAATGAAGATGAAACAAGTGCTTAAAAAAATGAGTTAATTGGTGCTAACAAGCTTAAACTACTCTTGCCTATGTAATTGGTTGCTGATTCTATCCTCTGGCAAAAAGTCCATAATCATCAGTCCTGTGATCTGGATAACTGCTCAAGCAATTGTTTACTTGATTATTTCTTAGAACAATTGCTGTGGCCCTGTCCAAAGATTATTGACCCAATTCAAACGAGACAAGTAATGAACTTTTCTGTAATGGCTCCTGGCTCCATTTTCACAATGACTCTACTTGTTAACTCACACGATATAGTTCTTCTATTGTTTTTAATACAGTATTACTTTTGTTCGTGATACTAGGTTAATTTGTTTTGTCACCTTATTTTGTTGCTGCTGTTGAACTTGTCTGGATTTTTTTTCTTGGAGAGAGTGGGTGCTGTTTTTAAGACTGGTGACTTAAAACCTATCTGATGAGAGAGAGGGAGGGAGGGAAGGACCTAGCCAGTGGCAATATTAGAATAAACTGGGCATTTAAAATTTTGCCTTTGGGTTTCCATTCATTCTGGAGGTGTCCCTTGGAGTCGAGGACAAAGATCGTAGGGCGCAAGCCCACGGTGTCTTCGGTGGGAATAGTAGCCATTCAGTATTTTTATTTCCCTTTGTAGATGCAAATGATCAGTTCAAATCATCTAAGCATAGAAAAAGACTTCTCCATGTCTAATCTGAGAAGAAAATCTCCTTGGGAGTGAAGTCCCAGTTCAGAGAACAAAGGGAGAATAGACCAGAGAATTATTTACCTTTCACTGCTTCAGGGATTCAGAGGTCAGCCAGCCGACAGATGCAAAAGAAAGCTTAGGGCTAGACATTCTATTTTTCTGCTCTTTCTTTCTTCTTCTTTTGTGACATGCAACAGACAGACCTGCCTAGAGGCGAGGAAACGAAGGGATTTCTAAACCTGTGCTAGAAGCAAAATTACGGTAGTATTTGTAAAAGCCTTTGTTACGATTAAGGCCAAGATGATAATAAAACATAGAATGCAAAGAGAAATTCTATGAGACAGTTAAAGGAATAATAGAAACAAACTCTGAGCCTGTGAATGACATCCTGAATGAACTCCATCCCCTGACATTTTTTACAGACTCCACACCCATCTCCACATTGAAAATTTCTCAGGCATTGAGGATTACAACTCCCAGCATGCCATGAACCTAACCTCCTGAATGGTGGACCACAGGGAACTAGAGGTAGAGTTAAGCAGCAATGCTTGGTTTATAACTGAACATGTGGGCTCTTGCTTTTCGGCCTTTGACTTGTACCAGGTGGCTCAAATGGCGTTGCTGGTAGGATATATTGACCAATCTTCTTCTGTGTGTTCTCTTTCTTCTCATTTCTCTTGTAAATAAACCATTTTAAAGTTTTCTTTGCATGCATCCTTTGGGCCCAAATTTTTAAGAATAAGGGTGAAGACGCTCACCCAGGTTGCCTTGTTCCTCTTGGTGTTGCCCTGTAACAGCTTGGGGACATCGCATTTGTAGTTGACCAGCCCAAAGGATGCTTCCTTGCTTTGGTAACCATAGGTGCATTATGATTGTGGGACACACAGTGGGATTTTTTTGTCTCTAATTTAGTGGAGCCTAGTTTTTCTTAACTAAAACTGTGTGTGGGAGTGTTTTGATTTAGATACAGGTTAAACCATTAGATTTGGCAGTTCTCCATCTTTTCTTACTTTTTATTGGCATGGTCATGCGATAATGCTTGATATACAGAGGATGATTTTGTTCCTGTGGGCATACATATCCTCAATTTCAACCTCCAGCTTAGAATTTATGCTTCTGGGGGCCTTCTTGGGTGTGTATTTAAATACTTTACACAACACTGTTTATGGTTTGATGGGAGATGTCTGCTACATCTTCTCCCCTACAATACTTCAATTTTACCCATAAAGTAACCCTACACAAAGAGTGCCATTTTGTTCAGAATTTGAAGGCTCTTAATGAAATTTTCCAGGACATACATCCAACTGTGCCAAACCCTTACACCCTATTAACCGCCATACCCTCAACAGCATATTTCAGTAGATCTGCTTGTTCTGCTCCCAACTCTGTCTCTGATGAATCCTCTCACCACCCTCCCTGCCCCCTCCCCTGGCCTGCACCCCAGCTCTTCTATGCATAAATAAATAAAAATAAAATCTTTAAAAAAACAAAAAACATAAAAGTTGAGTCTCATTTTCTTGAAATCCCTGGGATACTGGTGTTGGAATCCCTGGGATACTGGTGAGATTGGTAAATACAAAACTGAATATACCCGAACATGAAGTGTCTATGATGAGATTATTTTTCTATTTTCTTTAAAATGCTTTGGCATAGACTTTGTGATGGGTCCTAGTTAGCTTTATTCTTTTTTTAAAGAATGACTGGCTGACACTTCAAGAACCCTAACTGGGAAAGCATGTTCAAGGGTAAACATTTGAAATTCTCAATTTAGAAGCTACATTCTCAAGTGGCTTGGCCGTGGCTGTAGTCATCTTCATTGCATATCCATTCCAGGGGCTCTATTAATTAGCATAATGATGCTAGAAAATGATTTCTCATTGATAAAACTGTGGGGCAGCACTGCACCCCAGGGCCCTGGTGGTGGCCAGGGTTACCTTCCAGATGGGGTGCAAACCTTGCTGTGTCCCCCTTCACTGGGACATCTCATCTCACATGGGGGTCAGCAGCAGAGTGAAGACCAGACTCCAACCACTGAGGTCCAGAAAGGAAGCTGAAGGCCATCCCTGACGTCCAGAGTCAGGGGGCTGCTGGGAGGGCAGAGCAGAGTAGCCATTTTATGGGAGCCTTTATATTTTTTTTAAGATTTATTTATATTTATTTATGCATACAAGAACTGGGGTGCAGGCCAGAGGTGCAGGGAGTGAGAGGATTCACCAGATAGAGTGGGGAGCAGAATAGGCAGATCTACTGAAATACACTGCTAAGGGGAGCAGCAGGTGAGACAGGGAGGTCAGCTGCACCATGTGGGTCAGCTCCCTGGCTGGGGATTGAACTTGTGTTGCAGAGGCTGGCAATAGCTTCATTGTGCTGAGACTTAACCCCTTGCACCACCAGGGAAGCCCTTTCTGGAAACCTTTAAAGGAGAGAAGGCACATGGGCTAATTTCCTCTTTATTGGAGCTGCTGTGAAGACAGTGCCCTCTGGCTGGCTGTGTAGCCAGCCTTGGCCCTATTCCAGGGGGAGGAGCAGACCTGGACCTCAGCAGAGGCAGACCTTTGCTGGGCCCTTCTGCCCCAAGGGTGGCAGGATGTGGTAAAACTTTTCCCTGGGGTGTTGCAAGCCCCAGCTCCAGATGCAGCTGACCTTGCTGCATCCTTCTGCTAATGTAACTGCAACTCCACTCTTTTACAGGATGGGGTGAGGGGTACCCGCGAACCCCCGAAACTGCCCATTCTAAATAGGTCCTGCCATCTGCTACATCAAGATTAAACATATGCTAGTATGTAAGACCTTTAATAGAAAGAAATTTTAATACAATTAGTGTGCAACAAAGATAAGGGGAAGAATAAAGTTTTCAAATCAAGCACCCGAAGTTACCCACCCCCTTGTGAGTAAATGTCCAGCCAAACAGGGGTAGCCCAAAGCAGGGTCACTGAGGCCCGAAAGCCTAAAGAACCTTCCTGTGGGGACCCATAGAAAAGGGTCAGAAACAGCCAGACAAGTCTGGGAGGAAAAGAGCAAAATCCAGACCAAGATCAATCCTGCCATTGTGAACCTCCCCACGGGTCTTTCACCCACATCTGTGGCAATGAGTCCAGGACCAAGAGGCAAATGCAGCTTCTTCACATGTCTCTGCTCCATGTGCCTCTACCAGGTCTTCTCCTTGCTCCCCATCCTGCTTCCTACTTCTCCTGTCTCCTCTCCAGCTTCTCTCCTCCCTGTTCAGCTACACCCTTCCTTGGGTGGGACAGAGAACCTAGAACCTCCCCTTTCCCTGGGGACTCCCCCGTTATAACTCCATTTTTGGTCAGTAGCTGGACATCTTTATTTTCCTCTCCCCTGTTGGGTAAAAGAAATTTTTTTTTTCTTTTGTTGTACCAAGGACCCTTTTGTTTGCATTGTGGTGGTGAGTCACTAGACCCAGAACTGATGAGAGAGATTCTGATGTGGTAACAAGTTTTAGACCCTTTGTCCAGTAACAAATGAATTTTAATTAAAGTTCATTTTGCATGACTTGTTCCATTACATAAACTGGGTAAAAATATTTAACCAGCCTTTTTATATACACTTCAGATTCTCTCTCCAAACTGGGGTACTAAACTGTGTCTGTCTGTTTTGGGAGGATTTTGTCATGTGAGTCTGTCTTGAGAGTTAGACTCAATTCTGCCCTAAAGCTGGAAATTTGTTTTGTTGGTACATCCACAAGGCCAGAGAGCTAAGACTTCATTATGCTTGCTGAATAGGTTGTATGACTATTTGGAGGCCTGTTTTGTTAGTAAATATATTTGTGGCAGAATGAAATCTGAGACTTGCTTTTATTAAAATGCGTTATCTGGAAGTCAGGTCTCCACAGTTGTTGCCTGCCTCTAGTTATTGGAAGTTGTGGGTATCATAAAACAGCTAATAACTGTGCATAGCTAGATTGGCTGTGTACATTTAAAACAGCGCTGCAGTTCCTTACTTATATATTGTTCATCGTATTTGGCCATGAATGCTTGCAAGTAATCAGGTAAGTACCTACAATATTTGCATTTGTTTTAAAATGATTTCTTCTTTCTCTGATTATTCCTTCATAGCCCCCAAAGGGTCTGATAGGCTTTTCTCAACATACCAAGAGAAAGCCTTTTGTCATTTAATATGTGATGTAGAGGTCATTCAAGGCCTCGTGAACCTCAAGAGGTTATTACCATTACCCAAAGAAAGCAGATTGCTTGGGGTGGAGAGCAGTGAGGACCATGCAGGCTAGGAGAAGCTTCAGTCCTTGCTTAAGTCCTTCTGCTCTTCCTAATGAAGAAGAGACACCTGAAAGAATGTGGCTTGAAGGGTCTCATGAAGTTGCAGATGTATCCATAAACATGTCCTCTCTGAGAGTCTCCTCTCTACTTTTGGAGTGAGGATGAAGTTATTACAGGGCAGGGAGAGGGGCAGCCCAAAACCCCCAAACCTGCCCACTCTAAATAGTTTCTGCCATCTGTGGCATCAAGACAAAACATATAAACCCTTTAATGGAAAGGAAATTTAATACAAATAGTGTGCAAACAAAGATTAGGGGAAGAATAAAGTTTCCAAATCAAGCACCTGAAGTTACCCATCCCATCATGGGTAAATGCCCACCTAAACAGGGGTAGCACAAAGTAGGGCCACTGAGGCCCAAAAGCCTGCCACATATCTAAGGAACCTTCTGGTGGGATCCATGGAAAAAGGTCAGAAACAGCCAGACAAGTCTGGGAGGAAAAGCGCAAAATCAAAACCAAGATAAAAGCTGCCATTGTGAACCTCCCCACGGGTCTCTCATCACATCTGTTCCAGACAGGCCAGGACTGTTAATAGGGCAGCCCTGATACAAAACGGGTTGCCTGACTGTGGGTCCTCACCCGTGAGCTTAAAAGGACTTATCAATACTCTACTGTAGGCACACGCGAAAGGTTAATAAAAGGTTTATTCACAAGGGAAGGGCAAATGAGGAAATGTACAACTCAGGGAGAAAAGTGGGAGACAAAGTTTTAAATGCGTCCTACCCGATCCGCCGATCTGGAATCCCAAATGGCACTCTGAGAGCTGGCCGCGAGCCAGGAGCTGTGAAGCCAGGAGGCAAGTGAGAGAGCGAGCCCCCCCAAGGCCCACGTGTTTGTTTTTTCATACCAACCCTGACTGCTTAACTCCATCCTCAGGTCCCTGCCACCTTCTCTTTGGTGGTGATGGGATTTGTCTTTCCCAATGTCCTGATGGCTTTGGTCTGGAGTGGGGGTGGGGTCCACAAAACCTGTATGGGATTAGCTCAGGACATCCTTTCTCCCTAACAGGACCAAGAAGCAAGCGCAGCTTCTTCACATGTCTCTGCTCCATGTGCCTCCTCCAGGTCTCCTCCTTGCTCTCCATCCTGCTTCCTCCTTCTCTAGTCTCCTCTCCAGCTTCCTCTCCTCCCTGCTCAGCACCACCCTCCTTTGGGTGGGGCGGGGAACCTGGATCCTCCCCATTTCCTGGGGAACACCCTGTTGCAATGTGACCACCCCCTTCTTTTCTGTCATGTGAAGTCTCTTTCTCTTCTTGACACACCAGTTCCCTAAACACAGGATAAATATCCCTGGGCCATTCCATTATTCTTTAGAATTTACAACCCTATAAATTCTTCATATGTATGCTATTAACATGATTCTTTTGCTTACCTGTCTGATGTTGTTTTGATTATCTGAGCATCCAGCAAAGTATCCAGAGGGACAGAGGATGATTTCCTTTGTGTTCTACCAGCACCAACTAGAATTTAAATATACGCATTTGATTCAGTGGTTCTGATGATCAAGGAGAGAAAATAAAATCCAGTAAAATAATGATAAATAAAATGATAATATTTGAGCACAAAGAGAAATCATCCTGTATCCCTGCTGAGTGTTCTATACTGGCAAATAAACAAACATCAAATAGATTGATAAGAGAAAAAGCCAAAAAGAAGTTTAATAATATATACACCTCCTGTGTACATTAAAAATGAGTAACTTGCCTTTGTGGCTGCAGACACTCTGTTAAATAACCTCCACTAAGACAAAGGACATTGGGGGAGGGGCAGAGGGGAAGTTCAGCTAAGGGAGGTTACCAGAGAAGGCACAGTAAACAAAGGTATGATTGTTATGCAGATTTAATTTCTGCCTTCTCCACTGAAAAGCCTTGAGGAGATTCAGTCTTCCCGACAGGGTGAGGGAGCTGCCCTTACAGAGACAGATTTTCCTTTTCACTTGTAAATGTCTATTTCAAAAGGGCCCTCCTATGAAATAAACCTTCTAACAATAATAACAACCAAAAACATAAAATGTATTTTGCAGTGGCAGATGTCTGTTCCCCTACAATAGTATCAGGGAGGAAAAAAAAAATTCTATTTCTGTGTTCTGTGGTTGGTATAAGAATTAAATTGACATAAAACAGATAAACCACAAATTTAATTATGTAGCTATACACAGAGACACCACAAAGATATGAGACTGTAAAGGTGGCCAGATGATTGAGACTTCAATACCATGCTGTGCTAAGGAAAGTGAGCGGGGCTGGGGGTGGGGGTGGTTAACAGGAAGTTGAGAGGAGGAAGTGTATGATAAATAAAGGATGCCTTGTTATGCAGATAAATTTCTCCATGGTGAGAAAAATTCTGTTAGTATGGCTCTTCCTGATACAGGGACTCATTCTAATGAAAAATTCCTTTCTAAATATAGATTTTCCCCTTAAATGAGGAAATCTGTACTTTCTTTAGGTAGTTAAGAGGAGAGTTAAGATGTCCTGATTACTTTTGGTACAGGGCAGGGAGAAGGGCCCCTCAGAACCCCCAAATCTGTCTGCTCTAAATAGGTTCTGCCATCTGCTGCATCAAGACAAAACATACAAGACCTTTAATGGAAAGGAACTTTAATGCAATTAGTGAACAATACACAAAAGACAAAGAATATAGTTTCTAAATCATGTACTCAGTTACCCATCCCCTTGTGGGTAAACGTCCACCCACATGGGATTGCCCAGAGCAAGACTGAAAAGCCTGCGACACGTCTAAAGCACCTTCCAGGTGGGACCCATAGAAAAGGGTCAAAAACAGCCAGACAAGTCTGGGAGGAAAAGAGCAAAATCAAAATCAAGATAAAAGCTGCCATTGTGAACCTCCTCACAGGTCTCTCACCCACATCCATTCCAACCAGTCCAGGACCAAGAAGCAAGCTCAGCTTCTTCACATGTCTCTGCTCCATGTGCCTCCTCCAGGTCTCCTCCCTGCTTCCCATCCTGCTTCCTTCCTTCTCCAGTCTCCTCTCCAGTTGCTTCTCCTCCCTGCTCTGCTCCACCCTTCTTTGGGTGGGGCAGGGAACCTGGTACCTCCCCTTTTCCTGGGGACCACCCTGTTACACATCAATTGAAAATAATCCACATGCCAGACTTGCAAGGCCCCTTCTGTCACTTTTCTGGGGTTCCCCTCAAGAAGAACTTAGACTTGTGGTAAACGTTTAGGCCATAGTCACCCTCCTTTGGGCCAAACCTGTTTGGCTGGGCATTTACCCATGAGGGGTTGGGTAACTTTGGGTGTTTCATTGGGAAACTATCATCCTCTCTTCTCTCTCTATGCCCACTAATCCTGTTAAAGTTCTCTCACTCTAAGACCATGCTTTATCTTTATGTGCAGATGGCATAACATACCCTGTTAGAGCATGCAAATATGGGGTTCCTGGGGTGCCACTCAATCTGCATACTAATAGCATTTTCTGAATGCCTTCAATAGTAATAATAGATATTTCTTATTGAAGAATTAACTCTAACTCTCCACATATACAAAAATAGTTTCTACATATACTAGAGAAGTAGACATAAGCTTTAAAAAAGTCATAGAAGAAACTGATAATATTTATATAGTTTTGGGGGTAGGGAAGTCTTATGACCACCAGATTGAGATTCTGATTTCATGAAATTCTGATTGAGAGATTTAATTAGAGAAAGGAAAACACTGAGGCTTGACAAAAGATATTAGAAAAATGTTGCTGGAAAGCAACGACCTGACAAAAGAATTTGCAACATGTAAAAAAGTCAGAAAATAATTACTTGCAATTGCACTAATTAAATGATGACAGAGTTGATAGTTCTTAATCACTTGGAGGGTGAGTCTGTCATCTATCTCAATATCATAATTTTTCCCTCTTAATGTCATAATTTGAATATATTTCCATATTATTAAGTATACTTCTAGAACATAGTTGTTACTAGCCCCATAGAATTCCATGTGAGTGTGGTGAGCATGCTGTGGGTACCGAGTGGCAGTGTTCTGAAGCTGACCACTTTTCCACCAACTCTCTTCCATCTTCCCCCGCCATCCCAGTCGTTAACACAGGCTCATTTAAATAAATCCTGGATAAATATTTATGAAGTGGTGTTAAATCTTAAACCTGTGTACTCATGTTCTTCATCCAAAACTGTCTGCATTGGTTTAGTTTCATCAGAACTTCTCTTAGACTATGAAGGTACTCAAGTCACACCACCCCAAGGGTCTCAGAACTGGTTTCCTTAAGACATGTCCGTCTTGCAAGCAGAGTATTTTGAGCTAAGAACCAGGAAATCCCTTGAGGCTGAGGAGAAGCTTCTGTTCTTGCCTAAGTCTTTCAGCCTTCTCTAATTAAACATTATCATTCCTAAGCATCTGCCCTTTTCCTAATTGGAGAAGCAATCACTGTGCACTCTTTATGACCTGGAAGAATATGGTTCAGGGTCTCATCCAGTTCTAGGTTTATCCATAAGTAAACATTTTCTCTATTTAAGAATCTCATCTTTAATGAGATCATGTCCTTCTTATCTATTATGTAAGGTCTCCCTCCAACCCTGACACCCCAGTTCCCTAAGTGTGGGATTATTAACTGTGGTTTACTCTGTATGTTATTAAATTTTGGTCTTTCTACTACTAATCTGCTTGATGTTAATTTGTAAATCCATCCAGCCTTAGAAGTGGGGTTGGGGAATATCACCCCTATGCCCCAACAACTATATGAAAGAAATAGTGGTTAACAGAAGGGGAGGTGGAAGAGGGTGAGTAAATCAGGTATAAGGGTCAACTGTATGAATATTGGGAGGAAACAAGAATTCTGGTGTTAAACATAATGTATTACATATAGATGTTGATTTAAAAGTTTCTACACCTGAAACCTACATAGTGATAGAAACCACTGTTACTTAATAAAAATAAACTTTAAAAAGTGTAATTCATTTTCTTTTTAATCAGAAGATGGAAAAACATGTAGTTGCACAAAACCAGTAATTTGTGAAAACTCCATGACATCTATCTATCTCTCCATCTACCTACCTACCTACGTACCTACGTACCTACCTACCTACCTAATCATCTGTCTTGACAACAGATAGTTTCATAAAATAAGATAATCAAATGTAATAACTCCCCTCTTCTGATGCCCTTAAATAATACATTAATTCACAATGATACAAATAAAAATCATGTTAAGAGCAGTTTCTTATTAATAGATTTTGAAAAGTTTTGTTTTTTATTACAGCAAACATTGACATTTATTTAACCACTAAAATAAATTCAAGTTATATTGTTTGGGAACTTTATGATTTCAAATGATTTTTTTTCAAATAATTAAAGTTCTACATTTGTAACAAATGAAAAGCAATGATTGGTTTAAGGAGATGAAAATATATGCTGAAATAGAATATTTCAACATGGTTATAAATTTATGACACTGTAATAAATTCTAATTAAAAAATAGAATAAACATAGATGTGCAAAAATGGAAAAAATCCATTCAAAATTTCACAGCTGTTAATATTTATTACATTTCTTTTCAGTCATTTTCTAAGCAGAGGTTCTTCTCTTTCATGATTATTATAATATTACATAGACAATGTAAGGTCTTCATTGTTTCACATGACATAAAATAATGTACTTCTAACAAATTCAATTCTATGAGTAGGATCTTTCATCCAAAGAATCCACATTTAACATGCAGCCTCTCCATTTAAGAGAGACCACACTATGCTAGAATAGACATGTTTACATTCAAGTTCCTGTTCAGCACAGAATCTTTCTGGAACTTAGGGAAGACATTTGGATAATATTACTCACTTCAGCTCTCTTCCCAATGGCAAAAAGAATGGGTTTTGGCAGCTCAGCTTGTGATACACTGCCAATCACCAGAGGCAATGTCTGACAATGAACTTAGAAAATCTCATTGCTTTTGAATGATAGAAAGGAGAGGGATAGTTTCCAATTTATAAATATTTGGTTTATTATTACACAACAGTCATAAAACAAATGTTGTGAGAAGATACTACTTATGTCAAATACCTCCTTTGTGTACGTTGGTGAACAGACATGTTCTGTCTGTAGATCAGTGATAGTTATAGCAGACATTCCTTAAATACAAAAAACTCTGAGGGTCATTCTAAGTACAACCAATTCAAGCATTTATGTTAATTCTTAACCTTGGTCCAGAGAGGAGTCACTCACACCATTATGCATTTCCCTTCAATGAAGTCCAGCCTCCCTGGAGAAAGCGTGCTGTTGAAGGCGTGGCCTTCTCAAATATCAGTGTATAGTCTGATTTATGCAGATACAATGAATAATACACAGAAAATAAATGAACACAACCGACCCCAGGTACTTATCTATCTGTGACATCGGGATTCCCTTCTTAAAAGTAGAAACCCTGAGTGTATGAAGAATGAAAACACATAGAACAACCAATTCAAAGCAAAACCCCCAGTGTGCACAAAACACCGTTTTGGATAAAAGATGGCAGCTGCAGAACTGGAATGGTAGCAGTTGCCATGGTTACCAAGGCTCTGATTCAGCCACCATATGCCACCTGGTGTTCTCAGCCTGAAAAAGCAGGTCCGTGATGGCCCAGCTAGGAGGTGGAGTTGTGGCCACCGCTCTTCAGGGAAATGGTGTTGGGCTTGGAAGTGAAGCAGAGTTTGTAGCATCTTACTCATTGATAGAAGATTTGGGGCTGCAGCCTTATCCCTTAAGGCAGGGGTTCAGTTGGGGAAAGGAAACAGACACACCCTCTTCTCTTTCTCAAGATCATTTTTATCTTTTCATGGAAACATTGCTGTGTGGGCATCCATTCTCAAAGATCAATATTTGACCTCATTTCAGGGGAAATTTGCTACTCAAATCTGTTATGTCATATATTACAATATCAACAAACTCAAAATACTGTGTACATCTCAGTACATTGATTGAAGAACAATAGATTTTATCAATCCTCGGGGTACCCTTCTATCCTTCCAAAAGCGCTATATGGTACTTAACTGTATAGCTTTTAGTTTTGAATTGTGTCCAAATATTATTTATCTTCTGAATATCTGCCTTGGGATTCCTTGAAAATATTTGCAATCCCTGGGTCTCTAGTAGTAAGTAGATATGTGGTGTGCTATATCATATATAATTTTAAAAATATAAACATATAAGATTATCATAAAAATTTTACCCCTTATTCTAAGTTCTGGGGATTCATGCTTGATTTTCATATTTATAGTAAAGACACCAACTAGGTGTAGATATTTGCTAGTGATTCAACTACGAAGTAAACATTTCATGTTACCCATGTTTTCAATTTGAAAGCTAATAAAGTGATTACTGACTTCATATTCATGATTTGAGCACTCAAAATTACATATGATATATTGCTGTCGTTTTTAACAGTGGTGAGACAGTAATCAAGGTAATCGATAAGATGGTTAAAAAAACAAACTCTTACTCTTCATAGCTATTCCTGTTTTGTGTCAATATTTTTAATACTCTGCAATTAAAAAAATTTTCATCTAGAGATTGCTCTACCATTAGTATTCTTTTAAATTTTGGGATTCATCAAAAAACAATTTCATTGTTTTAATTGACTTTGTAATAAGTAAATATCATACATTTGAATTTATAAACTGCATTTTGTCCATTGAAATAACTTATTTCTCTAATATATTTGGGGCCCAAATATAGCTTGTGTTGCAAAATTAGTTCTGCTGTTAGAAACAAGTCTGGCTGTCACCATACTTGTTAACATCACGGCACTAGTCAAATCCCTTTTCCAAGGGCATTGACCTAGTCTAAGTAGACAAATAAGTTGAGAAAATTTCAGGGAATTTGGCCTCTTTTCTTGTCCAACTGGAAGTACAGGTAGTTTTAACTGCCCCAAAGACACTGTGTTAACAGAAATTCCCATTTTTTTGAACGTCCCAACCCTAGACAACCACTAATTGATTTCGTTTTTATAGATTTGCCTATTCTGGCCATTTTGTTTAAGTGGAGTCATTTATTATCTGGTGTTTTGTGGCTGGCTTCTTAGGTATGTTTTCAAGCTTGGTCCATGCTATAAAAAAAAAAAAAAGAAAAACTGTGTGTGTGTGTATTACAAAGACCAAATACTTTGTAATTAGATGTTTTCCCTGCCACATGGATGGGTTTGTCTGATTGAAAGGTTATTTCTGATAAATCCTAATTCTGGGTAAGACTCCCAATTTACATTAGACATTCTGACCAACTCTAGAATGATTTCTGAAATAGCTATCCTATTTTTATTGCCCATAGCAATGTATGAGGCTTCTAACTTGCTTATACTTACTTGTGGATACAACTTTTATCTGTTATCTTGGTGAACATACAACTTTTATCTGCCATGTTAAATGCTTTAGCATTTTCCAATTATTAAGCAATATTGTAAACATTCTGCTCACCAGTGTGCTTTGTGTGTGTGTGAAATAAACTAGAAATAGTTTGAATCTAAATTCCTTCTTTTCCTGCTCACTCTAAAAGGAAAACAATTATCCATCACTTATCACCTTCTGAAAGTTGAAAATTCAAAATATTCAAATTGTAAAAATATTATTTACAAAAAGATAACTTAGAAGGATTTCTCTATACAAAGTAACTAATGAAAAAAACAATAGCTTTTCTATAATAAGATCCTTCTTAGAAATGGAAATTAAAAGAAAAACCATTAAAATAACAAATCTGTGTCACCCAAGAAAAAAACTTAACAAGACAGAACACTTACCTAAGGAAAAAAGTACAATTTTACTGAAAGACATAACAGGAGGGTCTCTCTGGTGGCGCAAGGGGTTAAGCACCACACTATGAAGAAATCCACAATCTCTGCAGCACAAGTTCGATCCCCGGCCAGCCAGGGAGCTACCCACATGGCACAGCAGACCTCTCCTATTTCGCCTGCTACTCCCCACAGTGGTGTATTTCAGTCAGTCTGCCTGTTCTGTTCCCCACTCTGTCTCTGGTGAGTCCTCTCACCACCACCCTGCACCTCTGGCCTGTACCCCAGTGCTTGTATCATAAATAAATAAATCTTTAAAAAAAAAGACATAACAGGAGCCGAAATGAGACATACCATGGTTTCTGAGAAGAATTTAATATAATAAAACTATCAGTGTTTTTCCAAAATAGTATATACATTTTATGCAATTTTAGATAGAATCCCAATAGAGCATTTGGCGGGATCTTGAGAAGTTTCTATTTTCATCTGAAGGGGAAGAATGTGATAATTATCAAGAAATCATTGAAAGAGAATAGGGAGGGTGGACCTAACAGATACTAAAATATATTATAAAGCAAAACTAATGAGTACTTTGGTTAGAGAAATAAACAAATAGATCAGAAGAATAAAAAGGAACCCAGAAATAGACTAATGTACATATGGGAGTTTCAGATCAGAAAGGAAAGTGTGGCACCTTGAATAAACGACACTGGGGCAACTGAGTTTTCATTATAAAATGTAAAATTGTAACTATAATGTATAGCAAAGACAAGAGCATTTTCAGATGAATTAAAGATTTAAATGTAAAAACAAAAAAAACTCGGAATGGTTAGAAAAATAAAGGTGGTTCATATAATTTCAGGATAGGGCAAAAAAAGAATGTCTAAAGGAAAATCCTGATTTTGACTATAGAATATTTATTTTTTCATAGTAGGACTTCACAGGCAGAGGGTTGAGTCAATCACATACCCCAGTTTATGGCACATCAATTACTATAATTAGCTTTTGTGAGCCTCCTGGTTTGCTTTTGTATGTATACCTAAGTTTTTATGTGTTGCCATTTATTGCTTTTAACTCTCTGACTTCCATACATATGTAAGCAACTTTTCTAATATTTTACACACATATAGTCAAGCTCAATTAGTGTTGATAATATTTTGGACAACCACTTGGGCTGCATATCTGATGGGGTCCCAATAGGCTATCCCAGACAGCCAAGGTGTGTAGTCGACCACACGGTATAAATTTGTGCAATTACACTCTCTGCTGTCAGCACAACACTGAAAATGTCTAGTGGTGCCTTTCTCAGGGTGTAACTGTGTCATTAAGTGGTATATGACTGTGTTCTTTGTATTGCTCTAAAATGATTAGTGGGGACTCCCCGGTGGTGCAGCGGTTGAGCGCTGGGTTGCAAAGCTGCCCGCAGCCTCCGCAGCGCCAGTTCTATCCCCGGCCACCTGGCGAGGGTCCCACATGGCACGCAGACCTTTCCTGCCATGCCCGCTGCTCCCCTCAGCAGTGTACTTCAGTCCTTCTGCCTGTTCTGCTCCCTGCTCTGACTCTGGTGAATTCTCTCGCCCTCCCGTGCTTCCTACTGTACCCAGTGCTTGTATAAATAAATAAATAAATCTTTTTAAAAAATAAAATAAAATGATTAGTGCTGTTTTGAATACCTACCTTTAACTCTGCAAATACTCTTGTTATTTCATTTTTTTTTTCTACTTAGTGTACTTTGTAGATTTATATTGCTGTGTTTACCATTAGCTTTTTGGTTCTTTGAGCTGCATAGTTCTCCATGATGTGCATTTATCAATTTTTTGATGTTCTCTCCTTGACATGGGAAGCTAGATCACCTCTCATACCCAGTTACATGCTTTCATGAATTTCTTCTTGCATGTGACCTGTGGACAAGGGCGGTGATTTCTTTGGGATAAATATTCAACTAGACCATAGGGTATGCACAACTTTAATATGGCCAAATGCTATGTTGCCCTCCAGGATGACTGTACTGATAGAAAATAGCTCCATCATCAGTTCATTTTTTAAAAAAATATTCATTTATTTATGCGTACAAGAACTGGGGTACAGGACAGAGGTGTGGGGGATGAGAGGATTCACTACAGAAAGAGTGAACAGAACAGGCAGAGGGAACAGAACAGGCAGAATGACTGCAATACACTGCTGAGGGGAGCAGCAGGTGAGACAGGAGAGGTCTGCTGTGCCATGTGGGTAGCTCCCTGACTGGCCGGGGATCGAACTCATGCTGCGGTGGGTGTCGATAGCTTGATAGTGCTGCCACTTAACCCCTTGCGCCACCAGGGAGGCCCCCAGTTCATTAAGGTCAGTATTCTTTAACTTTCCTAATTTAACAGGCATAAAGTGATCTCATTATTTTGTTCTCTAATTTATTTTTAAGTTAGTTTTCTGTAGAGAACATATAGCTCAGTCTTAAATTTTTATCTAGGCTGACATTATCTGCCTTTTATTCTGAATTCTCAAATGACATTAGATATAATTATGAATTTGTAATTATGAATTTGCTTCTACCATCTGGCAATAAGCCTTCTATTTGTTTGATATCTTAGAGCACTTTTTCTTCTTTTTCAGTGTTCTTTTGAATTGACTGAATAGCTGCATAATTCCATTTATCCACTGTTGACTTTTTAACTCTATTTTGAAATGGTTGTGCTAGATTTCCTTGATGCCTGTTTAATTCAAAATAGGCCCAATGACTTTGCATTCA